GCGACGGTCGCGGCGGCGGAGCGCCGAGGCGGCAGCGGCGGCGGAGGAAGCGGCGGCGGGGGGTGAGGGAGCCGGGCGCGGCGCGTCTATTCGCGGTGCTAACGAGGATGTGGCGCGCGCGCACCTTCTTCATGCGATTCTTGCGCTCCTTCCGCTGCTTGCGGGCCGTCGCCTTGGCCTTGCCCATGCCAAACTGCGGCGGGCGGCGGGCGGCGCGTGAGCCACACTGGTGCCCGCGACGCGGGAGCGAGCGCGGCGGCGCGACTCACCCGCGTCAGGAGGTACTTGGGCGAGTACTTCTTGGCGGCCGTGAGGCTGTCATAGATGAGGCCAAAGCCAGACGAGCGGCCGCCACCAAAGGCAACCTTGAAGCCATAGAGCAGCACGCACGAGGGGTCGGCGACCTGCGCGCGCGGCGGCGGCGGGGAGCGCCGTCGGCCACAGCGGTCTCGAGCGCGAGGATCCTCGCGCGCACTGGGGGGGGGGAGGCCATCCCGCAGCCAGGCGGCGCAGGCGCAGAGGCGCAGGGACCAAAGCGCTTTGGCAAAGCGCCGGCGGCGCCGTGCAGCCTGGCGCAGTGAGCGCCGACGGACCAGCGACGGCAACCGGCCGCCCTCCGCGCAGGCTGCCGGCGGTGTGCGGCGAACCTTGTACATCTTCGCGAGCTTCTCCTTCAGGTCGTTCTTTGACACGCCGGCGAGGCCGGGGTGGATCACCTCGCACACAAATTGCTTCCGCTGCAGCAGCCGGTTGGTGACGAACTTCTTTGTCCTGACGGTGACTGCGCCGGACTCCATGCCGCTCGGCTGTGGCTGGCGGCGGCGAGGAGACGAGGGCAGCGCGCTCTCTGAGGCTCTCTGCGGCTACAGGCACGCGGGCGGAAAAGAAATCGTTTTGCCCCACCATGCACCGTCGCGATGCGCTCCCCGCTCCCGTTCCCCTGTGTCCCTGATCGTCCTACAAGATCCTGCTTGTGCAGGTGGGGACCCTGTCCTTCTCCCACCCCTCGTTTGGCGTGTGCGTTGTATTTATTTATTTATTATCCCTCCCTTGGGTTGTCTCTTTCTTTCTTTCTTTCTTTACCAACTGCTGGAAATGTCGTTTGCCTCTGGCGCTGCTCTCTGCACGTGGCAGAGGGAGTGGAGAGAGCACGAGAGCGGCACCTATGAGCGCCGCACGTTGTTCGTGAGGGGCCCCTTTCCCCCGCCTCTGTGTGCCTCTTTTGCCCACAAATAAGAGCGACTGCCCGTTGCGCGTTGGCGCGTTGCCCGATGAGATGACACCAGAGGGGGAGAGACGTTTTAACGCCCCGCTCGCGGGGCATCGCCATCCCAACCCAGTTCCCGCCGGAGACCCATAGCGGGTCAGCAAGCCCTAAAACGGCGGGAGGGGTAGGGCTATATCGATAGAGCTAGAGGGCTCAACCACCCCTCCACCCCTCCACCCTCCACCCCTCCACCCTCCCGGAGCGAGAGAGGTCCGTCCTCGAGCCCTCCCGCTTCCACCCCTCCGACCGGAGGGCTCGCCAGCCCACAGGGCTGGAGGGGTCCCCGTCGGATCGGCGTCGGGAGGGCTCCACAGGGTCCCATAGGGCTAGCGCGCTGGGAGGGTGGAGCGGTCCACCGGGATTCCGGGAGGGAGAGGGGTCAGGAGGGCTGGGCGAGGCGGGAGGGGTGGTGGGGTCCAGGAGGGCTCGCCGCCCCCCCGAGCTCGGGTGATAGGCAAGAGGGCTCGGGCGCCGGGTGGGCTCGGAGGGACGGTCGGACAAAGGGAGGATCTTCGTGGCGGGAGGGCTCGAGAGGGGTCGGAAGGGCCTCCGGGAGGGGTCGCAAAAAAAGAATGGCGCGGAGCTTCCGAGAGTGCCCGCCACGAGAGGGTTAGAGGGGTCGGAGGGGTTTAGAGGGCTGGAGGGCTGCAGGCCTGCTGAATCCGCCCATGGACGCGGGTCAACCGGCGACGGCGCCCGTGATCGAGGGACCGGCGACGGCGAATGAGCTGGTCTCTGCGCCGCACGACTTCACCCACGTTCGCGACTGTGGCCATCCAACAGTCTGCCGGCGCGGCGGGCGCATTCGAATGCGCCGGCCGCGCCGGCAGACTGCCAGTGCTATCCGGGCGGGCCTGCTGCGGCAGGGCGCTGCAACGCCGCCCCCTCGCCGCCACAGCAGCGCCGCCCCCGCATGGCTGCCGCCAGCAATGTCGCCGCCAGCCGCCGCCCCCAGCCGCCGCCGCCAGCTGCCGCCAGCACTGCAGCGACAGCTCTCTCTGCTGCCCAGGTGCCGCCGCGGCCACGAGTGTCACCGCCACGAGTGCCGCCGCCGTCAGCGTCGCCATGGCCGCTGCCGCCGCCAGGCGGGCGAGCGAGGAGCTCCATATGAGTGTGTGTGTCTGGAGGCTGTGGCGCTCGTTCCGTTTTAGCGGAAACCCCAGGTATTTCGAATACCAAACGCGCTTCGTGTTTGCCTTGAGGAGCGCAGCGACGAGTCCGTAAGGAGCGGCCCCAGCTTGCTGGGTGCGGCGCCGCCGCGCGCCGTATCGAGAGACTCTGTCGGGGCAGGTTAAAATAGCGCCCGCAGGCGCTCCCCGGGCCGTCCGCGCACAGACGTCAGACCACGGAAACGCCTCATGATGTGTATTGCACCACTTCCGTATGCCTGCAGGTATCTTTAACCGAGCCCTCCGAGCCCTCCACACCCCTCCACACCCCTCCGACCCCTCCGACCCCTCCGACCCCTCCGACCCCTCCGACCCCTCCGACCCCTCCGACCCCTCCACACCCCTCCGCGAGCCCTCCAGGCCCCCCGAGCCCTCCGACCCCTCCGACCCCTCCGACCCCTCCGAGCCCTCCGAGCCCCCCGAGCCCGGCTCGGTGGCTCGCCCCTCCGAGCCCTCCGGGCACTCCATCCCTCATGAGCCCTCCCGAGCCCTCCCGAGCCCTCCAGCGCCACCCTCGTGCCTCTCTGCCCTCCGAGCCCTCCGAGCCCTCCGAGCTCTCCACCCCTCCCGAGCCCCACCCCTCGCGCTAGGGACCCTCTTGCCGGACGACACCCTCCGAGCCCTCCAAGCCCCCCGAGCCCTCCAGACCCCTCCAGACCCCTCCATCCGCACAGCCCCTCCGGCCCCTCTAGCCCCCTCCGACCCCTCCAGCCCTCTCTAGCCCACTGGACCCCTCCTACGCCTCGCTTTTGGCCAGCCCTCCAAGCCCCCACCCCTCCTGGGCCCTGCCGCCTGACACCTCTATCGGTGGAGGGCTTTAGGTCACGGTCCACACTCCCGCCCTCCCGACCCCTCCACACACCTGCAGCGGCACCCCTACCCC